TGGTAGGGTGGTTTAACCGGTTTGGAGTAAAATACTCTGCAATGCCAGGATTTTGTGTGCCCATAAGAATGGCCTGGACAAAGGGGAATAACTTGATTATACCACCTTGAGGTGTATCGGGAAATTGCATGTAAATCCTTTACAGAACCGCCACATTAAAATAATACAGGACCAACTTAGACATTTAGCTGGAGTCAACTCCAGCTAAATGTCTTTAAAACTTATGAACTGCCACTGAAAAGAAGATTTAACATATCTGCATATCTAAACCAAACCTAATAAAAATATATATATAAAAATATTGCTGACCTAAGAACCAATAAAACAGGAACAAGTTAACATCAGTCCACACCCCTCTATGTTGTGTGGTAAAATAACCTGAAGCAAAGTACTGTAAATATTACTTTATTTTTGCCATAGAAACTGCTAAATACAGTCTGTAATTAAACTAGCATCAGTTCATATTCCCAAAATCTAAGAAACAGTACGACAGTGAATGAAAAAATCCAAAGTGTTCCCACATATCAGAAATACCTTGTAACACAAAATATTATATAAAGCTGTGCAACAGTATGCACAACACTAAATATGCCAATCTGTAAGAATCAAACATATGCAGTTTATAGAAATGCACTATTGAAAGTATATTAGAAATATAGTCAGACATGATTTAGTTTTTTTTGTTTTTTTTCTTATTACGCAAAACATTTTTGTCACTGCCCCCAATCCAGGTTCTCCATCCCTCACTCAAACAGTATGTTCAATGTACTTAGTACATTCCATCTAGAACTATTTGAGGTCAAAGGGACATCAAAAGACCCATCAAACGGGGGCACATTCTTAAAAAAATCACTTAAGTGTGTGCTCTTAGATTTACAAGAAATGGGAATGTTAAGAAAGTTGAGCACACAGTTACTTTGGGAGTAATACAACAGCAAGCTCTATAGCGTAATCCCAATACCTACAATCGGCAACATAGTAAAAACCTTAACTACTTTCCCCTAGTAAATTCACAGTAACAACTAAAAGAAAAATAAATCAAGAAAACTTAAGTTATTGAAATCTCACATATAGCAATAACATAAAATCAGTAAAAGTCAACTGCATACGAATGTTCATGGTCAAACTCGAGGGGTGAAAGTATTAAAATATATGTAAATGAACAGCAGAAGAGCCATCAAAGCACAGCTTATGAAGACCCTTTTAAAATGTCACTTGCTGCATCCACACATGTTCAACCTGAGGTTTCTTCACTGACATCTTAATGTAAAACATTCATAGACCATAGCATTCAGCACAATCAGAACACCACTTACTATAACAAAAGCAATTTTAAGGGATTCAATATGAAGCGAATACCTGTCTCAGAAATTTTTTATAAAAGCAGTCTAAACCCATGGGCTGCAAATAATAGTTTTGGTGCAATGTGGTTAAACCACTGCTGCCCTAGAACTATTATAAGGTCTATGAATCAGGGAATGGCAGGTTCCATCACTGGCTTCTGAGAAGGTATTTTCCTTTGTAACATAAATTCCTTCTAAAGTAACAGGAAAAAGTGCCTTAATTTTAATATAATAAAATGCTTGAACACTGGGTTAAGGTTTAAAAACTGAGAAAAAATTACAAAATGTACCAATAAACAAGAACACAAGAAATTAAAACAAAATGCATGGATTTACAAGCATACTGATTTCAACAAACACTAAAGAAGTCATCTAGTTATAACAAAACACAAATGTGTGGGCTGAAGCAACGTTTGTCAATTAACTCACTTGTAAATGGCAAATATGACAAAGAAAAAAAGTCCTACCTGGTAGCTATGGTGTAATGCAGTTTGTACACCAGTCATTGTTCTATTATGTGCATTGTGCCTTGTGTTGACAGGATACCTGTACTAAAAAAGTACCAACCTGTGAATAGTAGGTACCATATAGTGCCCAATCATACCTGTGTTGCAGGAAAATTGCTTTAACCTTTGCTTCCAATGCAAAATACTGACTTAATTTGAACAGGCATGTACACCAAACCCCCCACCCAACGGTATTCAAGGACCAAGGGCTGTAGCGTAGGAGTCGAAATGGAACATGCCTATTCTCACCCTAACCTGGAAGTTGCTGGTAAAGGGATGTTTCTTATAAAACAGGCTGATTTGGCATCATAAGACACCTTATATTGAGTACTTTGCTCATTTTCATTCTTTTTTTAAATCCAAAACATGTTTATACAATTCCTTCTGTGTCTAATGATAATTTGGATCATAGAATACTCCCTCCATTATATATACAGGTTTAGATGCACATTTTGTTTTGTTGAAAAAAAATGAGTGTTCCTTCAGAAGATTGTTGCATCTATGTCTAATAATTAATAACAAATATAAAAATCTATTCAGTTAATCACAATATAACAACCCACTGAACGTTCTGTTATTTAAGGTCCAAAGGCCACTTGAAGCTGCAGTATATCCTTTTTTCAATATAGTGCCCTGTATTCCACTAGGGCACTACTAAATATCAGATTCACTGCCACAACAGATACCAGATGAGCTCATCTATGAGAAGCAGTCTTTCATGTATAACTCCACATTTCCAATTAATTTGATGTTTCATGATGAAGTAGGGCAGTAGAATTATTAATTTTTTATTTTTGTTTCTATCTGCTTTCACAGGATCTTATAACTGTGATAAACAGGAAGTTTAAATTGTATTCACTGCTGCGGAGGAAATGAACACACGGCTAAAGATGTGTATGAAATTATCACACAGACCTAAAAGTCCATGTATCTTAAAGAAAATCTAAAACTCAGGAGTTAAATCTAAAAAATACATTCAAGTACCTTAAATATTAACAAAAAATGTATCATCTTCTTTATGTATCACTCAGCTGTAGATCCCCAAATCTCTGAATTGGTGCGGTTGTATTCACCGCTTCAAGCTCGCTCCTGTGGAGGACTACAATCTCAATACAAATTATTAAAATAATTGTGAGACTGTAGACCATCACAGGAGAGAGCTTGGAGAAGTGGCTACTTTACAATACACACAGGGACCATGGGAAACAAAAGTAGCCACCCTCCAGAAGGAAGGACAGTGTCAGCACCAATACAGAGATGATTTGAGGATCTATAGCTGAATGATACACAAATAAGCTACATTGGTACTTGAATGTATATTTTAGATATAACTCCTGCATGTCGTGTCAATTGAAGTATAGATAGTTAGTGAATTATTATAAATGTTATCAATCGATTACTGTTAAAATTAAAGTTTTTATGTTTAGTATGCAACTACAAAATTGGGGGGGTCATATTTTCATATTTACCGACTTCATATGCAGACTCTGCTTTCTGTTTAGCAGTGTTTTTTTGTTTTTTTTAAATAGCATACCTGATAAGGAGAGGCTATATACTTGGCGTTCCAGAAACCCTGTGTTGAAACACGGGGAAGTGCTGCACCACTGCCACTACAAATATTCACTCGTGAGTCAAGTACTTGCTCCCACCGCCATACACAGTAGTTTCTCCCACCGTTTAGTACATCACTAAAGAACATAGAAGCCTGCAGGAGGAACCAGTGTGCAGCAGGAGAGAAGGTATTCTACACACCCAGAAGTGTGGAATACCTGCAGAGGCCAAGCTGCATTCCAACACACGAGCCACCGGAAAGTTAGGTATATAGACTCTTTTTTTCCCAGGTATATCTTTAAATCTTGACCCTGTATTGACAGGGTTACTTTAAGTTTAACCTTGGCCAAAAGCCAAATTTGAATATTCCTATTGGACACAATACATGCTTCAAGAGCCCATGAAACCATTAATTAAACATGATGTAATACGTTCTTTTTGCAAAGGTGATCAGTAGCTCTTTCAGCACAAAATTCATCGGAAAGGTGGAGTTTAATTTGATTTACTACAATTGTGCTGTGATTTGTCTTAATATTCTTGGAAAATACCAAAACAGAGGAACTATGAGACAATTGGAAACCTGTAAACCATTTACCCTACTAAGCACATTCAACACCGATATTTGGAGTGTAAACAAGAGGAAAGACTTCCAATCTATATATTCAACCTGCTGTTTACAAAACAATTGCTCTGCATATAATACTACATACATCTGAATTGTAGGAAAAGTGAACTATAAAGTCATTTCAGGCAGAGTTTGCTTTTGCAAAAAATGAAGTGAACACAAAAAGAACATTGACCTAAAACAACTCTTCACCAAAGTGCACTATAAATTCAACACCAGTTACAGGATCTGTTCTACATGCACGCATTGTACAATTCATTGAAAACACGCTATTGTTTATGTGTGCGCTGGATGTTTGCAAGGGAGATTTTTTTAAAGGGCCAGTAAACTTAAAACAAATTAGTCTTATCTAAATGATCAGCAATAACTTTAGTATGTGCGCATAAATAGAATTACAGATATCTAGACTGCCAATATTGTATTTTACTTATTGTGCAGCCTGTTATTCCATATGGTCTTCCAGTTAGCAGTAATTACTAGACAGGAAGCCAGGTAGGTGCAGAAAAATCTTAAAAGCTGAACTCCAGACAGTTATTAAAATGAAATGCAATCAGAACTCCAGCTATTGTCGTTCTGATTGCATTAAAAAGATTACAATTGATTTAGCTTTCTTGTAATACCCTCCACAGCAGCACACTGACTGGGAGTTGGAGGTCCAGCACTAGGGGGCACTAAAGGACCTGCATTTACATGTACCCCCAAGAGAGCTGACCCCTTCAGGCTGTTGCTGCTCCTTCACTGTCCAATCACAGACTCAGGGCAGGTAGTTAACCTAGCTGAATAGACAGAAATACAAGTCCTTTGGCAAAACTGGATGGACAGAAATACTAGTCCTTTGGCAGAGAATACTGCTCCCATTGTTCAACATTGTATTTAGCCTCTGCATGAAATTCAGCTGTAATCCTTCACAGTTAACTTTGCCTCTAATTTTTTTTCACTGCTAAAACTTTGTCAATTGCAAGTAGACAGAAGGTCTTTTGGATAAAGCAACTTTATTTTATGTTTACTGACCCATGAAATATAATTCTGCACACCAAAATTCATAAAATGAAATTGCTTGGGTGCCATACAATGGTGCAACTATATATTTGCAAAGCAGACTGAAGATATATCTCAACACAACATGTATCAAAAAAACTTACAAAGTAATAACTAGAAAATGACAGACCTTTTGTCTGTGTGACTTTTAAGCAAGGTGGACCCTTGCATTTCATAATCTGAAGCATGGAGGGACTACCTAAATAATTAGAATGTCAGTCGGAAAGCAGCCAGTGAATCTATCATAGAAAAAGGCACTTTTGTAAGATTTTTTTGATGACAGTTGTTTATTTCTTAGTACACAGTGTGTATAGATCACTTGCAATTTCTGCAATTTAAAACACCTTGATTGTAATAAAGAAGAAAAGATAGATGAAAGCTGGGCAAAAATTCGAAATTGTCACAAACAAAAGACTACTGTGTATAGATGAGTCTAAATATATTCAGAAGTACAATACACATAAGCCCCTCACCAGGAGAGGGAGAAGTAGATCCCGCTTTAGTTTGTTTTCTTTTGATCGTTGTGGTTCTGCGTCTCCTCCATGTTGTCAGGGGTGAAATCAGTACAGAAGCCATTAGGAGCGGTGGGAGAAGGGCTGTCTAGACGGGTTTCAGAGTCCACCATATCTGGATAAATATAATCTTCAGCAAAACTGGGGTTCAGTTCTGCAAATCTGTCAAAGTCCCCTAGAACAAGAAAAAAACCCACAGACATGTAAGTTACTACATTAATGTTTAAGATACACTAAAATACTAAAATACATTTGTACTCAAAAGAAGGGTCTAAAGGTAAGAATCAAAATTAAAGCAGAGATAACTATATGTTTACCCTGCTTTTCACAAAAGATGCTTGAAAACTACTGTGGAGACTTCATCTGTGCTGAGAGAAATGTGGAGGAGGCTACGGCTGGCCTCTCCTTCTGAAAATGCTAGTTTTCTGACTGTCTGGAAAAGACCAACAGTTTTCACAAGGAAATAGTCAATAACAGCTCCAGTGCCAGCTGTGACAGAGAACAGTGCGGCAGGGGAGTGCTGGAGAGGCAACCATCAGTGGGTCAGAGGAGGGAGAAACAGAGTCACACAGACACTGTCACTTCGTACTGCTTGGGCTAAGTGACAGTGTTTCTTTAAAGGAATGCTATAGTCTATTTTACAACATTTGCTTACATGTAGTAGGCTTGAGAATGTGATCAGATACATGAAAATCATGGTAGGTGGTGAAGTTTTAGTTGCCGTCTAGTCTGACCCTGTTTTCTTGGATGTCTTGGATGCTTTGATAGCAAAATCTCCCTGCCACAATTTTGGGCTATGTGCATGTTAACCTGGGAATTCTGTGTGCTCCTGCCCACCTTTGGGTATCCCAGTTGCTCCTGTTGCATTCACCAAACTATAAAATAAGTCCCAAAAAAACATCTAAAGTAGAGTGGGGTAGAGTGGGGCCCCCTCATCATGCGTGCAGCAGATGTGAAAACTCAAGAGGAGATATTACAATAGATTAGGTAGAACAACGAGGGGGATTTATCAGCTTCTCTCATGTTCTGAACTGAAGAGAGATGCTGATTGGTTGCCATGGGTAACTGCTCCAGATTCGGTCTGCCCACAACACAGATCTTAGAGAAAAGAGAAAGCTGGATAATAATTAGCATTTAGCCAGAAATGCTCTTTGGTCTCCCAAGTTCAAGATACAGTCTTAGAAATGTCTAAGAAACCTTTATTTATACAATTATTATTTATAGTGCGTACCTGTATCTAAGTCAATCGCTAATTTATGCACACCGATCTTTAAAAATAATGAGGTGCTTTACTAATTGTTAGGAGACATTAAATATTACATTCTATAGAACAGCTGCATATTATATTTGTATTCAATGGTGCCTGCAGCAACATGTCTACTTAGTAATTAAAGCCTTTGATTTTTGCGCAAGCACAAATAATTACATTAATCCTAAAAAGGGAACATGTTCACAGACTAAAAGGAGTTTCACATAATAAATGCACGGTAAACCTTGAGGATACTAAAGAACTGTGTAGTACAGTTGACAGAAAGCCAAGAAAAGATATACAGCAACTAAACCAATCTATGTTCTGCTAAAGCAACAAAGTAAACGTTGTATTTATGCTACATCCAGTTCCTCCACATAATTTGCCTTAATATGTTTTTAAAGCCAATATAACCATAATGGCTTTTTTGCAGCCTGTTAGTATAGAGTTGGTGCCAAGTGGCCCCCTGATTTACAGAAATGGGGCAGGGCCGAAGTCAAACGTGGTATGTGGAGCGGGAAGTTGCTAAGGCAGAGCAAAACTAAGCCAAATGGATGGTTTAAGGTGCAGGGGATAACATCACATATTTCAGTAGGAGGGATCAGGGACACTTAATGTACAGTCAGCTGCACTTCAAGATGGTGTTCCAAATACCAGCAATAAGGTGACTTTTAGGCTAAAGAATGCCATGATGCACTGCAACAATGCCTAGATTAAAAACAAAAGCTCTGAACAAGCAGGTTGTATTTTCATTATGCATTTCAATGTTCAATCTTTATTTTGCCAGTAATTTTGTTTCTTAAAAGCAAAATTTGTAGGCAAAGCAAAATAAATGAATTTCTAACGTGCATAGAAGCAGCACAGACAACCCACCATCAAGCTTTTATACCTGGGCTTTATCTTAAACCAGGAGTATATAGTGTAATAGTTTGGGGAATATAGCACAATGGTGAGCGCTAAAAGACCACTCCTGAAGCCGACTTTAACCTAAAAAGGACAGTATTTATTCATTCAAAAGGTGAACAGTCCATGAACTTCACAAAACAACTTGCTTTTCTTCAGCATAAACGAAGCATAACAGTTCATTGGACTCTCATTAACACATCATGGTTTGGTCTCACCGACATTTGGCTGTCCCATACATTCCCAGTGTTATAGTCCCAGGACTTTCCCTGGATATACCGTCCTCAGCAGCTTCCCTCAGCTCCAAGACTTTTGGTATTCACCCTCGTGGGTCACTGTCTCTCTCGGTGTCCCCGACAGGGATCTCAGGGTCACCAACCCTCTGGACCTCTCCAGCCCTCCTGGCTGTGTCACCTGTGCTCACGCACGCAGCAGCATCTGCCTGTAGCCATATGCCTACAGCACACCCACAACTCTCCTCTAAAGCACTGGGCTGGCTTCCTAATAAGGCTGCTCTCAGCCACCTGTTCAGCCAAACCTGGCCACTTGGTATCGGCACCGATATCGATACTAGTTTTGGTGCATTCCTACTGTATACCCAACTATTCTGATAACGAATGGAATACTCACCAAATGTGATTTTACCCCTTTCTTCTTCATCTATTGCTCTGAAAAGGTCTGTTACATTAAGCTCTGACACTCCCAATGCAGTCTTCAGAATCACTGCCAAGTCCTCTTCTACTATAGTTTTATCATTCTCTGACTGGTACATCTGCAAGAGACAAAACATTTCATATCATTAAACAGCACAAGTGGCCTAAAAAACGATTACATATTTCTGTCAGAATTCCCTTTCTATGTTAGCTATACTGAAAGCTTGATTTAAGGAAGTGATTTGAATGTTTTGCCAGTGTTAGAAAATCATAGCTGTCTGCAGTTTTAAGTAGAAAGTTAATTTGTGTTAACACAAAATTACACAAAAAGGCATGTGTAGCAATGCTTTGAACAGATATTGAATTCAATTTTAACAGAACAGCACAAATTGTATGAGGCAGATTTAAAAACCCTGGTGAAACCAGACACATTTGGTATTCTATAATCACCAGATTTTTTCACATATTCACTGCATCTATAATGTAGCAAATGTGTTGTTGTGGAATTTACAAACTGGAGAATGTTATTTTATGGCAGGGGCGTATTTTGGTAAATGAAAAAAATGCGTCATGAAAAAAACACGACAAACATGCATCACATTGTCGTTGAATCTTTATAAATGGCAGACTGTAGAAAAAAAATTTTTTTGTAGATTTTGCACACAATAAGTTAATTAACTATCCTTGAAAAATATCTTATTTTTTTTAACGAGATTGTAAATGACACCATTTTTACAATACCAGTTTTTGTCATAAGTTCTATTAGATAAAAAATTATCTTTTAGAGCATAAATACAGACAGTGGCTCAATGAAACGTCTAAACTTTGCCTAGCTGGTGGTTCTCAATCCCAACTGTCACTGACAGTTGGGGTCCCTACTTGGTGGTTGGGCACCAATCAGAGTAGTTTCCAATGTAAGCAATAACATTGTAATCACATGTAGGCTTGAGGCTTTCAGCTTGCAGATGAACGCTGTAACCTTTAGACCAACTTTTTAATTGCCCGATACATTACCGATTAAAAAAAACAAAATAAAAACATAAAAAGGGATTAAAAATCTTTTTAGAAATTATTTTTGCACCTTTGTTAGCCTTTATGGCCTGTTCACACCATTACACTATGGTAACACCCACACATTATGCCTATTGCTGAAAATGCTGCATGTAGCTATTTTTGGTGCATTAGGTAGCCCTTTCAAATGAATGGGTTGCCTTAACTCAATACACAATGGTGTGCAACACTGAACAGGACCTTAGGAACACGGGTTGCAGCAGAAGATATCTATTGGGCTGCTGGTAACTTGCATTGCAAATACCATAACACATGAGCCCGTGTTAAAGGAGAACTATGGGGTCAGTGTTTTTCCCCATAGATCTCCTTAGGGTAACGGGAGGACACAAACTAGCTAAAGCTCGCGGTATACTGAGACGCCGCACCTGGAGCGGATCCCGACTTAGATGACGGGATCCGCCCAGCTGCGTGAGTGACAGCTGGCTCTGCCTATCTAGAGGCAGAGCCAGCTGTACCCGCCCCCTCCCCCGTCCGTTCCGCCAGTCAGCGCTGGCAGATCGGAGCGGGGAGAGGGGAATCCAGCCCCTCCCCCTGTCACGGCAGAGAGCCGTGACAGGATCGAGAGGTGAGCGAACCCGGTATGTGTTCGCTCACCTCCCGATCTACTGAGCCGACCTGTGACAGTCTCATTGTCACAGGTCGGCTACAACTATGAGGTGAGTGAAAAGCACTCACCTCATAGTTCTCCTTTAAAGAGCCCTAAATAAAGAAAAGCAGTGTTTTTGTTAAGGGCCCGTTCACACTAGCCTGCCCGCCAAAACTCTACTAAAACATTTTCAGGAGGATGTCAGCACTATAAAAGGTATTTTTATTCCCACTGATTTCCTTCCAGTGGATCTGATAGCAGGGTACAAAAAGATAGGTAGGAATAAGCACATTTTTTTAACTTCTTGAAATTTACCATTAGATAAAAATTCACCAAAGTGACCAAAAGGCTAAAAATTATGCAGGTAATATAATGTGATTTTGAATGAAGCAAACGGTATTAATGTAAACAGTATGATTTAAATAATTGCTGGAGAAATACCTCAAATGCCAGCTGAATGGTGTCCAAGGTCTTTGAAGGTCTACACACAACGGACAAAGCAATAACATACTCCCGTAGGTCAATTGCACCTTCTTCATTCTGGTAAAATAAAGAAAAACTTGAAAATGTTCCAAGAATATGTTGTTCTTTGTTTAAGTTTTTACAAGTTGTTTTATAATAAAACCGGACCAAGGCATGGTTCGAACGAAGCCTGTGACATAATTATTCAATCAGAAATCACTGTTGATTGGTTAAAGGAGAACTATGGGGTTAAGTCTTTTCCCCATAGTTCTCCTTAGGGTAACGGGAGGACACAAACTAGCGTCCTCCCGTCACCCCAGGCTCAGACAATTGTGCCGGGATCCGCCCAGCTGCGTGACTGACAGCTGGCTCTGCCTATCTAGAGGCAGAGCCAGCTGTACCCGCCCCCTCCCCCGTCCGATCCACCGTCAGCGCTGGCGGATCGGAGCGGGGGGAATCCAGCCCCTCCCCTGTCACGGCAGATAGCCGTGACAGGATCGAGAGGTGAGCGAACGCCGGTATGTGTTCGCTCACCTCCCGATCTACTGAGCCGACCTGTAAGTCTCATTGTCACAGGTCGGCTAGAACTATGAGGTGAGTGAAAAGCACTCACCTCATAGTTCTCCTTTAATGTCTTATTTTTATTGTGTGAGTGCTTGATGGAGAGTTGCTAATCTGTGCGGCGAGAAAAGGGAGACTGCACGCGAGGAGGGACCAGGGAGCTTGGAGACCACCTCCTGCACCCAGGTGCCTGAGATGCAAGCGAAGTGTCTGCAAAGGTCAAAAAAGTCTTCCCCCCTCTGGAAAGTGGGGACGCACCTTCATGCTGATGATCTGTTGGACCTTGAGCCCCAGACCATGTGGGTAGACTGGGAGCCAAGCTTGGTGGGTGTGGACATAGATGGTGCGGGAGTGGAGAATCAAAACAAATGTTTCTTTATGGATAAGGATGAATAAAACAGTCTATTGTTCAGGCTTCTTCAACTGACAAAGATGGGTGCTCTTGCCCCAAGTTTCTTTGATAATGGTATCCAGAGTAGATCCAAAGCTGGAGTGGTGTTGTCCCTCAAGGTCACGCGGATCAGACGCTTTTAACCAAAGTGTCCTGCACATGTGTGGGGACAGGAGACTCATGTGGGAGATGGGTAACCCCTAGCATACCATTACAACTGAAGCTTAAAGCTACAACCATTTGCACAAAATGTTCTATGACTTAGGTTTGGCAAAGCAAGGTCAGAGCCAAGGGGCAAAGAGAAGGGTCCGCCAGTGAGGACAGAGTTCTTGAGAGAGCTTCTAACCATTTATCAGTTTGGTCCTTATAGACAGATGCATCCTCCACTGGTATGATAGTTGCTTTATTAAGGTGGGAGACTGCCAGATCACAGTGAGGGCAGACCACTTTTAAACAAAGTCAAACAGATACAAAGCTTGGTAGGAGCAAACACCTTGTAAGGGTGTTTACTTTTTTCCATAGAGGAAGACTTGGAGCAGTGTATGCACTGGGAAAGTCTTTGCGGTCTTAGGGGCTCTAAAAGACTCATTACTGGAAATAGCACTGGTAGAAGCAACTGGCTGATCCTTTAGTATCAGAGTGGTGTGCACTGCATCAATAAGAAAAGACAACTTTTCATAATTAGGGAGTAATTATGCAAAAACAGGTTAGCCTTCTAAACAGCAGAGCTGAAAAAAAGAAATCCATCCACCTAGGACACCAACAAAAAACTGAGGCATACTGGTAGTAGGATGGGTTTATCCTGGGCTGTACTACATTGTTTTTTTGTTGTCCTAAAAATCGTAAATCAACGAGAGTGGTTCCCGATCATAGAATTGCTATGTCAGCTATGACATGGAGATGACATCCATAAATTCAGATCGTATGCCAGAAGCCTCTAATCAGAGTCTGTCTAGTGCAGTGACCCAGCTCTCTAGTCAGTTAGTCCACATAAGACAAACACTGAGATCTTTTAATTCCTTTATTTACAGCTCTGGCTTGAGAAAGGGTCGCCACATGATCTGAAACATAGCAACGTTATGGAGAGCTTTATGTAAAAGCTGATATCTTGGATACGCTACTTTTGTAAAAGTCATTTAGTTATTTTTGAAAATAAAAGCACTTAACTTAATAGACCACTGTGCAAACCTCATATGGACTGCATGGCAATGCAGATGCCACTGTTGTCAGAAGGTGGCAGTATGCCCCTGATTAATACTATACTTGTCAGCTACAACAACAACATTCAAAAATACAATTAAGAATATATTTTTGGTGCATTTCTCAACCTATAACAAAATCAGCAGTGTTTCATTAAAACTGTGTGCCAAAAAATTATTGGTCCTTAAAAACATAAGGCATCTAGGATTTAATGGTCTCTGATCATGAAAGGGTTAGCACTGATATATTATAATTTATGGTCACAAAGAACCTTCTCATTAACACGTTAAACAGTGCATTCTCTTTAACCATTTTTATATGCATACCACACAATGTAAGTATTGCAGATTTAGATAAACTGCCTTATTAACTTTTTCAAATATTTTTGAAGATGAGGACAGGACATACTTCATCAAATAAGGCAAAGAGGTCCTCTAATTTCTCTGTTACTGGAACGGACAGGTATTCTGCAAATTCCTTTAGGTTTATCTTCTCCCCTTGCCTTTTCTTGGCACGTTCTGAAAATTGTTTCAGCTCTTTCTCAAGCTTTTCAGGCTTTAACCTGTGAAGAAAAACAACTCATGAATTAATTAAGGCTTAATTAGGCCAGTACAAAGTAGCTAAATAGGGTTTTTACTATATTTTTCTCACAACATGTGGAACATGTTTGTGTGAATCTAGACAATGCTTCACTTTCAGTGCTGAGAAACAATACTGTAATATTTGACCCTTTTATGCTTCATTCCCTATGTATAGGGACAAAATAATTGATGTGTCTGACAATCAAAGGTCCAGGCAAATAAAGAAAAGCACCATTTAATGCAGTTATGTATTCATTAGACAAAACTGTGTAATGTAATTTACACACATTATGTGTGAGTACCTCAATCTGTCTTGTGCAGCCTCCTGTAATCCCCTTTATAGTAAAATTCTCAGTCAGACTCTACCACATGCACCAGACATGCATGTGCCGACTAGAAACATGCTGACTTAAAGTGACATTAAAGGCATAGTGACATTCCTCACCCCAACGTTAATTAAAGCACTAACCTAAATTATGTCTCTTAATCCGATCTTCTTCTTCTTCTTTCCTGATTTTTTCAGCCTTCTTTCCAGCGCTGGATCCTCTGAGCTTGCTGGCACTTCCTGTCCCACGGTGTCCAATGCGGGTGCACGTGTCCATAGACTTTCCTTGCGTCCCTTCTCGCCTCCCAGCCCAAAATGTGAACTGTGCATGCACACGCCCCAAGATCCTTTGCGACCGCCCGAGAATTTTAAAATTTTTCGGACGGGCAAGACACAGGTAAGTTTAAACCACTGTTAAAGCGTTTAAAAAAAAAATCCCTTTAAATTGAGAGAATTGTGTTCACCTTATCAGTAAGTTGCTTTTCCTCGAGAAAAGTGAGCCTGACCTGGCTACTGCTGTCTGACAGGGCTGGACAAAGTTATATATCCTTTGGCTGCTAAAACAGCTGCATTTTGCTGTTTTGTGGCATTTCGGCCACATTTCAGCTTTAGATTCTATATTCTGTTACTAAACCAAGTATGTGCGCGGTAAGAATCCTTTTTTATGTACAAACATCAGTACATTGGAACTGCATTTAGTACACAGCTAAAAGGACATCATATAAGATGTCAATGAAGTAGCATAATATGGGAAATCCAGGCACAACGAGGAAACTCTAAGGATCATTATGTTAATTTCTCAACGGATGTATCTGGTCAAGTATGTAAACTTTACCTACCCCAGACTTCTTACAAGTCTCGCAAACTCCAAGAGAGAGGTGTCTGATGGGAGACGCAGCTGACCCTCTGCTAATGCCAGCTGGCAGTCTTCAAATGTGTAGTCTGTAACAGACACGTCCAATGCTCTTTAAGAAGAAAATTCAATGTAAACAAGAGGAAAAGAAAGTGTCAGTTAACAGTAACATTTCATCGTCTCCATAAATAAACCTGAACTAGAATAAAACTAGCTGATTGATGCAGTCTGAGCACCACCTGCTGATAGCAGTTCTTATTGCAAGAGCATAATAAGGCAAAACATTATATACCACTTGTAGAATAATAAGCAGCAGCAACCTAAAAAAAAACACTTCAAAACGGGTTGATTGAACTCATTTATAACTATCTTGGACTGGAGCAGAACATGAGAAAAGAAATAAATTTAATTAATTTACACCTACATTCACATTCGACTTGCCTTGAAAAGGTGGGTGAAGAATCGACTGCCAGCAGAAATAACAGAATGTCTTGAAAGTAAGTCCCAACTTATTACTTATTTCTGTGAGTGCCAGAAAGGTGCGGTGGAGAAACATTTAATAATATAAAAAGCACTCTGTCCTCTTCATTAGGAACTTTTATAGCAATCATTATAGCGTATGTAAAACCTAGAATGCATTTTTTAAGTATGTTTGGCATTATGTCTCAATGCATACTTTTTTATTAAGCAAATCATTTGTGAATCTGTTCCGATAATGACACAAAGCAGCACTTCCTGTTTCAGGCTAACAATGTAAGCCGCTGCCTTGTAATTAGCAGCAGCATTGTCAATATTCTCTATAGGCTACCTTAGATGGTCTGCCTATCAGGCCTGTGTATACCTCCTGCAGACTTGACAGACAGCCCACAGGTCAACTGAAGGAGTGCACACAGCAAACAGACAATGGTTCTGCTAAATACAAGGCATTGGCTTAGTGCTGTCAGACTTCAACAGGAAGTGTTGTTACTGGCAGGATCTCCAGGGTTGCAACAGACTTACAAAAGAAGTTTGTTTAAAGCTGAAGTTTTAACTATTATCTCCCACAATGCAAAGTGACCTGATATCGGAGGAGGCAGATTCTGACCTTAATCAACACAATCTCCAATCACAGGTTGCCTTACATTGTGGGATATATTTAGCACAACTTCTATA